TTACTACTTGTTCTGTGGGCGTGGCTTGGTGGGCATGGCTTGGCTTGGTGGGCATGGCTTGCCTTAGTGGGTGTGGCTTGGTGGGTGTGCAGGGGAAGGTTACTGCAAAATCCCCATTCTGTCCCCACCCCACTAACCTGCTTTCCAGCTCCATTCTCCTGTGCAGGGCAACAAAAGAAGACCCAGCCAATCAGCTGGGACTCAGGAGGCAGAGAATAGATGGAGGCGGGGCCAGTCAGAGACAGTATTTGCTGGTTCTCCAAACTACTCAAAATTTCCGCTATCGGTTCTCCACAACTGGTCAGAACCTGCTGCATATTACCTCTGGAGTACCTTATCATGAACAGCCTTGGTTTTTCAGGGTTCAGGGCCCCCTCGTTCCTTGATATTTAATTAGGAGAGTCCTGATGCCAGAAAAGTTGGGAGGACAAAACAAACGTATCTAACACAGTGAATCAGTAAGACTGGATAGCCCTTCAAGGTAGATCAGACTAGGAATCCAATGTTATATCAGTCAGCACTACTTTTATTGTAAAGCTATAGTAATAGAATCTTGCAAGTCTGAATGTACTTCTCCTCTCCTTACCTTTATCTTTCAAGTGAACTAGGGAAAGTTTTGTTGAGATGTTTACTCAAGACACATTCCTGCCCCAGACCCATGTGACCTTTGTTTTGGAAGGCACATTTCCTCCTGTCCCTCAAGGCTGTTCATTCTGCCCTCTGTCATTTGTGATTTTATCAACATGGACTGCCAGCTTTCTTTTGATAATTTTTTTATGACTACTGTGTCAATTGATTTTCAAGACTGCTGCTTAGATTATTTTTGGATAGTTTTCTGACCCCACTTCAATATGCTTCTTGTATTTTTCAAATAATTATATCTAAGAAGCAACTGAGGGCAATTTTTAAGTCACCACTGCTGGGAATAAATGTGCAAGACTTTTCAAAGACAAGCAAAGGAACAAAACATTCTGCATGTTCTGGAAATGGGGTTGAGCTTGGAACAGGTTGGACAACCTCTTAAGGTTAGAACATGTCAGTTTCAAAATATGTTTGCCCTCCTCTAACTTGGGAGTCAGTGATGAAATTTTTGCCATTTTCACAGCTGTAAGCCTTGCATCTTATTCCTCATTTTATTCCTTGGTGGAGAAGGAACAGCCTTGAGGCTCAGGACAAGGCAACAGTGGATTACCCAATGGATGACTAATACTATTTGAGAAACCTCGGAAGGAAAATAAGATGGGTAGATTTGTGGATTTCTCAGACAAACAAGTGGCCATATCTTCTGGTAGCCATTTCCTTAAAAAATGGAAAACAGAAAACAGTCTCATGCCTTTGTATCAGATCCTCTCTTTTATCCTGTTCTTAATTTGCTGTTGAGTTGAATGTGCTTCAATCTATCTTGGATTTTCTGTAAGAAAATATGAAGGAAATTAACTTGGATTGTCTCTGCATACCATTTGCCACAGTTTTAAGTGCTAGAGTAGAAGATCATGAGTGTAGCTGTCAATATGTGCCATCTTATTGTTTTAAGCCTGACATAGTCACAACATGTAGAGCACTTCTCCTCATCTAGTGCCCTCCTTCTTAGCAAAGTCCTTCCCACTCAATCTTCTTGATTGAGGAATGTCAACAGATTAGAGGAGAATCCCTCTGGGCAGACAAATGCTATCACAAAAGGCGGTAGACTTTCTGTGATTGGATTACCACATGGCCACCTGTCATCTGCCTTGGTGCCCTATCAGTCTCTGAACTCTCCTTCACATCAGACCAAGGTGTGATGATCAGACCAAGGTGTTCTTGAGGAACTTGTTTCTTCCTGTCAAGATTTCTGTGTATTTCGACTAAAGAACTTTGGAGATTAGAACAGTCTGAGTAGAATACTAAAGTTAGGAAGAGTAAGTAGCTAATGGGCAAAGCAGATCCATTCCTTGGCAGGCTAAGTACATTGCTGCACCTATGCCAGCCTCTTGTGGAGGAAACCTTAAACCACATAGCCTGTTACTGTCTGAGGTGGTTCCATTAGTCCAGTTTTTCCTGCCAAACATAGCCTCGTTAGCCTTAGACCATCTTTGTTGCTTCTGTTTCATGGTCACACTTTTACACCTTTTTAACCATTTGAAGAGTGTCTGGTCCAGTTGATCACCTAGCAAAACTAGAGATGGCAATATATTGGAGGATTGATGCATGCCAACGACATAAGCAGAATTGCATTAAGTATCAGAAACCAGAGCCAAGTTGGGTGAGGCTCACTATTCTGCCTCATTTTGATACTTTTTCCTTCCTTCCTTCCTTCCTTCCTTCCTTCCTTCCTTCCTTCCTTCCTTCCTTCCTTCCTTCCTTCCTTCCTTCCTTCCTTCCTCCCTCCCTCCCTCCCTCCCTCCCTCCCTCCCTCCCTGTATTGTCCTCCTTATACGTAAACTAACTTAGTCGTATCCTGCTACTAAATGGCATAGAGTTTGGGATTCTGAAGGTACATTCAATGAGTCTGAGAGCTGCTTGTGGGCCTAAGCTTGCAGATTACTTATCTCAGACCTAAAATAAAATGCCTGTCAGCCATTGACATTTGGATGGCCCCAATTTAGGGAAGATCTGATCAAAATCCCCCAAAGAAAAAATACATAGCATTTGTGTATATATACATGTAGAAAAAAATATTTTGCATTGTCTTACTGCTACACTGTGTTACTCCCCAAAAGGCAACTCAGCTAAAACTAATTCTGAACATTTATCTTTCCCTAATAAAACATCTGTGTATATATCCATGCACGCACACAAGAGACAGGCACACACCACACACACACACACACACACAATATATTTGTGTCTGTGGTTTCCGGTCTATTTACCCATCCATCCCTGAAGCCACACTTCAAATAAAGTAGAATCACAACAGCAATAACAATAATCCTTTTTCAATTATGATTAATTCCCTGTAAAAATAATGCATAATATTAAAACATCTCAATATCTCAATCTAGTTTAGAACCCTGAAATTTCCTGGTCATTTATCCAAATCCTAACCAGCTCAGTCCTGCTCAGCTTCTGAAATTAGCCAGGGTGAATCAGATCCTGTTGCTATTACTATCTGGCTATTGTATGTAGGTACTCTTTCTTTTGTGAGCATGTTCTAGGCACACACAATATCTGTGCCGTAGTGCACTTGCTACAACATTGAGAATTTTGATCCATTATGGTACAGTGGTGGTATTCTACCTGTTTGGCCTGATTCTGCCGAGCTGGTAGCGGCGATGAGCAGCGGACACTGAACCGGTTTTCTCCGCCACTCTGCTGTTGGGCCCACCCACCTGTCTGGACTCCCAGGCTCACCTTTATCGTCTGAATTTGAAGTGCAGCTGCTTTGTGCAGCACAGCAGAGTGCCGCGCGGGAGCTGCTGAAGTGACCGGGAGAGTGCAGGCATGCAGGAGGTGAGTTAGAACGCCTCTGCACCTGTGCAAAATGCACGTTTGGCACATGTGCACACACAAAGCGCGCCCACCAAGCCATGGCCACCCAACCGGTGGTAAAAATATTTGAATCCCACCACTGTTCTGGTGGCTAATTGAAAGCCTTTTTTGTGTAGTGGTTATTAAGGCAGAAAGGCTAGAAATAAGGAGACCAGGAGTTCTAGTCCTGCCTTAGGCACAAAGCCAGCTGGGAGACCTCTGGCCATTTATTTCCCTTTTCTGGTCCCTAAAAAGAAAGCAAAGGCAGACCACTTCTGAAACCTTGCCAGGAACACTGCAGGGACTTGTCCAGGCAGTCACTAGGAGTCAGCACTGATGCAAAGGCACACAAGAACAAAAACAAAGCACATACCAGCCATTCTCTATTCATATACATAGAGAAACACATTAATGCAGACACATGTATCTCATTCCTTCTAGCACAAATTGCAGAAATGTCAGCAGTATTGTTGTTTAGTTCAGCAGCTTGTGTCTTGGTTGTTGAGAGAGACAACTCCTCTTCACATTTTAAGAATATATGTAGAAGCCTCTACCTCTATACAAAGTAATATAGAAAGCAACTCAGTAAATTGGTACCGGTACTGCAAGCTTCCTAACTTGATAGGAATTCAGGTTTATGAATGTTGCAACTTAGACTTCTGGATAGCAACATGGTTGGAAAGACTGATTAGAACCATAGCAATGGCTGTAAATTTCTAGATGTGATAAATCAGCTGTTTGGTGACTCCATGTTATTCTTTCTGGTGTGTAAGAAATTTGGAATGCCAGTGGGAAATTTCATCCTACAGTTAGGGATTATCATTTGGCCCATTTCATCTTTTCTATTTGGAACAAGGTATTTCATTAGTGGTCAACAATATTGAAAACTTATTGTATTTCTAATCTGCTCGTGAATCTTCAATTTTCTACATGAAATACAAGACAATATTTAATAAAATTCAGTAAAATAATAAAAGTGTAACCTTTAATAATAGCATAGTCAAATGAATGTATGTATATGCATTTGTGTTTCTCTGGTGAACAATGTTTAATCCATACAATGTTTCACTAGCTTGTAGTTTCTTGATATAGAGGACAAGAACTGACTGGCTAAAGTAATAATGTGGCAGATGTAAGGCAAAAAAAAAAAAACTAGGACAGAAAGAGCAAGACCCATCCATATCCCACTCTTCCTAAGTTTCTTTCTAAGAACTTTCTGTCAGATGTTGCATTTATTAGCACTGTGAGATGTAATATCCCATTTGCCAATGTAATTCTTAAATTGTTCACTTTGAGCATGTTTGGCATATATACATTTCCCTTCCCACCTTACTGGTATATTTCAAATTAATCAAATATTTTCATCAGTTTGACTCTTTCAGGTATGTTTGGATATATTTTGTCTTTGGGACTCTTTGTGAATTTGCCAAATGGTCAGTAGCAATAATTGGCTAAACTGCCAGTGACAGGAATAGTTAAGAACAAACAAACAAATTTTTGAAGCAATGTCCTTATTTTCTCATCAGTCTGCTAATTTCTTTCTTTCTTTGCAGGGAACTGATGCCAAGGACGCTTGATGGCCAGATCACCATGGAGAAGACGCCCAGCTACTTTGTCACTAAGGAAGCACCAGCTCGCATCTCCTCTATGTCGAAGGACACCAAGCTCATTGTGGTGGTGAGAGACCCGGTCACCCGAGCCATTTCTGACTACACACAAACCCTTTCCAAGAAGCCAGACATCCCGTCCTTTGAGAGCCTGACCTTCAAAAACAGGACTACGGGCCTGATTGATACCTCCTGGAGTGCCATCCAGATTGGCATTTATGCCAAGCATCTAGAGAATTGGCTCCTGTACTTCCCGCTTGGGCAAATCCTTTTTGTCAGTGGGGAGAGACTGATCAGTGATCCAGCAGGCGAGTTGGGCCGCGTCCAGGACTTTCTGGGCCTCAAGAGGATCATCACAGATAAACATTTCTACTTCAACAAAACCAAGGGGTTCCCATGCCTGAAAAAGGCTGAAGGCAGCAGCAAACCCCACTGCCTGGGCAAGACGAAAGGACGGACCCACCCCGACATTGACCAGAAAGTAATACAAAGGCTGCGAGAATTCTATCGGCCATTCAACATGAAGTTCTACCAGATGACTGGCCATGACTTTGGCTGGGATTGATGGCACTTCCCAGAGTCGATCCCATCTTTCAGCTTCCTTTCCTCCCATACATGTAGATAGGTCTATATGTAAAATGTACAGAAATCTATTTTATAATAATTTATTTTTTAATTCTTAAGCAATTAATTCACTAAGCTGCCTAACCCCACTGTAGCTTATAGCTGTGTTGTTTATTTTGAACATTCCACTGGGCTGAGTCCTACCAGGTTCATCATTGCCTGGCTTCAGCGTATGCTGGAAAGTGCTTCCAGGTATTTTCCCAGGAGAACTTTTAATATTAAAAATAAAAAATAGGGGGGGAATGGTGAATAATGGTTAAGAGACAATGAGAAAAGCACAATCTTTATTATTATAATTATTATTCTTTTTTTTTCCGATACGGGTACTAGGCATGTCAAAAACAATTTTGTACAAGGCCTTTCATATTGCATCTCCGGACTTTTTTTTTCCTTCCTAGGTCAATCCACAGACATTTGTATTTTTGTTAGCTTGGAAATAGCTCAGAAGTAAAAACAAACAAACAAACAAACCTCAGGCAGTTTCTTTCATGGTTGGGCCTGGTTGTATGCACAGAAGGAAATAACTCTCCAGCTATGGAGTTCTTGCTGTCTCTTGTTCCCCATTTTTATTGATCAGATCTTAGCAATTTCCCTTTCCACAGAGGTTTTGTGACACAGTAGACTTTCTGTGAGATTAGGTACAGCTTATCTGATCCTTCATGTTTGGGATGAGGAACAATGCAGGTTTTGCTGTTTTAACTTCTTCCTGTTGAAGAAATGTGAAGTGCTTACTTGGGAGACATGACACAGTATTTAATTCTTTCAAGCTTAGTTTTCAAGCTGCTGTTAACAGAAGAAGAGTGTGAAGCCTCTGTTTGTTTTCTGAATCCCACTTTGATTTCTTACGACTGATCATCCTGCAAGTGACATCCTATCCCATGAAACAAGCTAATACCATTAGCTCATTGCTACATTCAACCTTATATGTTGAATGTGGCAATGAACTAAAGGCCTTGGTTTGTTTTTATGGGGCTTTCTTTCCTCCCCAAAATAGTTTAAATATAAGCACAAAAACACAATAACATTTGAAATTATTTTGATTTATAAATGTTATAGATCAGAGGTGAGTGAACATTTTATAAGCTTGCTGAAAGAAGTACTAGGGATGGATATTCAGGAAACGTAGTTTATCCAAACTTCATCAAATAATTCTACAAACCTTTAAGCTACCTTTTGTGTATATGCCCAACAGCACTGTTCTACGATGAGTGTCAAGAGTGAGTTTTTCAGAGTGGCCCCATCTTTGAGACAAAATCCATTGCATATTGAGAGAATTTGTTACTCTTTGCTCTATCAGAAGTTTTGTTCTCCATAGGTGTTAGCCTGAGTGCATTATAGTAGAGCAGTACATTATCTGTTTTTGCTGGCAGAGGGTTGCAGGAGGCCATTGCAGCTGAAAATGGAACTTGAGAGGGCCGTGTGCACCCCTTGGAAGCTCCATTTTTGCTGGCAGAGATTGCAGGAGGCCATCACAGCCAGAAATGGAGCTCGGGGGCCCGTTTTTGCTGGCAGAGTGCTCAGGTTGTCAGAGTGCTCAGCGCCCCCAACATGAGTGACATCGAGCTGGCCATGCCCAACCAGGCCACACTCAATCTGGCCCCTCAAGGTCAAGCAGAAACGTGATGTGGCCCTTGAGTTTGACATCCCTGTAGTAGAGTCAAAATAACTTCTTAAGGTCCCCAAAACAAATGTGAATCAGATTGAGTGGGATTATCACTTGTATTTCTGTCTTCAGAGATAACTGGATTTAGTAATGAATCAATGAGAAAATTAGTCTGGCAGATTCCTCAGAGGGATGCATGGATACCCATACCAATACATATGCAAACACACTTATACACACTGGCTAAAGGCATAGATATTTTTTGTAAATATTTGACCTTTACATTGGGCTTCTTGGTCTTGAGGAATTTACTATATCTTCTGACAGAATACAGGCTATAAGAAGAAAGACATTTGGGTCATCTTCTCATTAGAAGAAGCAGCATATGTGATCACCCATATATACTTCCGTTTAACTCTGATATGTATTTGATAAACAGATTATTTTTTCATATGGTCAATCCAATGAACATCCTTTGTTCTGGAACATTGGAGTGAATTTTATTTCTAGGCCTTATGTTTTCTTTTTCAAAACTTTTTGATTTTTTGGGGGGGATGGAACTGCTGAGCGTATGCTTGGACTTTCTGATCTCTTTTTTTGGAATGGGTGAAGGATACTTTCCTAGTTGCATAAAGCATGATAGGTATGGTATCCATATATCTTGTTTTCTGTGTGTGCGTGTTTTTTGAGTGATGACATTGCCATCAATTCACTGTTATAACATTGAACTGCTACTTATGGCTGAGCAGCCCACTCAATGGAAACCTTCTGAAGCCAATTTATTGAAGAGGCCTTACCTAAATATTAAATAAAGTAGCCACGAGAGGCATATATCATATACGATATTTGAACTGCATAGATGGTAGCCTTCATAAATATTGCCAATTTTTGTTCCATTTGCAAGATTTGGAGGTCTGGTTATACATCTTTTCACCCTATAACATTAATTTATGGCTGAGTTCCATTCAGCACTTCATTGTCCTGATATTAGCAATATTTTTGAGTTTGCTATAACATGTTATGGCTTAGAATGGTACACTTGTAAAAGGAAACAAATGACAAGCAAAAACTGTAAATTGAATATTTTGTGGTATGTACAACACAAATTAATTTTACACAGAGGTTTCTAGGAAAATGGAATTCTGATTCATACTATTTGAAGAAATAAAATATATTTTACCAAATCATAAAGACTATTTCATTTTTTTTCATTGACAAATCAAAGCTGCAGCTATCTTTGTTTGGAAAACTTTGGAAGACTATCTAATATAGAAGGGAATATTCTGGTCTGGAATACCAGATGGAAGGGCATCACAGAGCAAGCAAGCCACAAATCTTCTTTGTTACTTTTGTAACAAAAGTGTGCTTTCATGGCCTTGGCCAGGGTAGCTAGGATCCAAAAGATTTTGCAGTTCTTCTGCAGAAGAATGGAGTTGTCCTGCCATTGTGAAGAGGACAAGAAAGAGGCCAGAACAAATAAAATCCTCTGTTTATCTGACATGCACACAGGTACATGAATGTGGATAGATGCACAAAATGCAAAGCCTGTTTTAGTAGTGGCATCATTTATTTCCCACCTATTGGAAGAATTGAAAGGCAGTTAAATTAAAAACAAAGAAAAAATAAAAATAAAACCACACATATATTGCTGCAACCCCCATTCCCATCCCACCTCACAAATGCTACTGTCCCCAACATTGGGAAATTAATGTTTTGTCTATCACGGCTTTTCTTTTCATATGCCAAGATGAATTGTTCTAGACATCAACTTTTCCTAGCAAGATACATGATACAAATTTGAGAAACCAGATGAAAGTTTTAAAAACCTTGGCTGAGGTAGAGATACTTCTGCCTTTTCTAAGAACACCAATGGCACCTTTGGTTTCCAATCTGTTGTGGTCTAGAGATGTGTGGAAGAACTCTGGTCTTCCCAGTTTTTTATTGAATTGATCTTCCAGCAAATGGTCAATGATAAACTCTGCAGTTCCCCAAGATTTGGGCAGCACTGCTCCCAACCTATAGTCTAAAACTATAAGTTTTCAAAAGAAGGAAGGGGCTATTTTCCCTTCCAGGAATAAGCTATTCCATAGAAGGGGAGGTTTTCAGAGAATACCTGAATCCACTCTTACTAGATTTCCTGATCCATGAGGACTTATTGACTGGTGTGTGATGACTTCCGGTGAAGTGAAAAAGACCAACATCAACATTTTTCATGGGTGCATTATGGCTAAAAAGACATGAGATCTGGAATGTTGAAATTTTCTCTGGAAAAAAGATCTGGAGATTGCCCATATGTACTCTGAACATCTGATTTTTGTGAGCAGGTAGCAGATATTTTTGCAACGCACCTGCAATCAGTTGGGAATCCCAGTTTCCATCGTGCTCTGAGCTACTTATTATCTGGGTTGGATAGTTTTCCTTTTGGATGTGCAAAAGGTGTAATGGCTTATTTGTAATATTTATGTTATTATTTTTGATATCTGAATAAGGGGTTACTTCTGGTAATATTTAATTGTTTAAATTCTTTTTAAATGTTTAATTGTTAAGAGAGGGATGAGGGAACTTAGACTAAATGGAAAGGGCTTATATACTCATGTTATTTAGTATGTTTATTCAGTTTTATTGGATCTTTGCTGATTAATAAGGCTATCATTTTCTTTTTTCAATGTATTTTTGTGCACCTGCAGGAGCAGTAGGAAATAATTTTGGCAACCTAGAGCTTTCCAAGAGAGAGTCCCACATTAAGAAACCACATAGTCCTGAACTGGAGGGAAGAAAAGGGGGAAAAGATCAGAATTTCTCTAGAATTTCTCAGAACGTATCTAGTAGCTTAGAAGGTTATAGATTTAGTTTGGCAAGATTCTGTCAATTAGGTGCAAACAAAATAAAGGATTGGACTCAATTGAAATTCTAAGTGTCGTCTGTAGACTTGGGCAAGACAAAGTAATATAACCCTTAATAAAATAATGTGCCTCACTGACTGCCTCATTTAATGACTTCAGATTTACGCTGATGTAAAACAACTACCTCTGACACCAATCCTTGCATTTACAACCTTTGCAGCATCCTATGGTCCTGTGATCACCATTTGTGTATCACAACTGGCTTCCAACAAACACAGTAAAATGGAAAGTTATGGTCACATGATTGCCCACCTTTGGTATAAGAGGAAGGGAAAAGGAAACATGGTCAGACTTTCAAGATTTTTTTTAAAATTATCCTGTATAATAACACTAGTATTTCTTATGTGGCTATTTTCTCACTTGTCCTCCATGTTGTGCTGACAAGACCTCATTCTTTCCATCAAAACTGTTTCATATTATTCAGTGAAAATTGAGGTTCCTGTAACTCAGAGCTGTCAAACTTTTGCCCCGCAGGCTGGATACATCACACACTGGTCATGCTCATGCTCGGTTTAGCAAAAAGTTGCAATATATCATGTGATGCAACCGTGACGATGCTAGTTTGACACTCCTGTAACTGTAACTGATCCTTCCCAGCATGGTTGAAGCTTCATTTATGAGTGTGGTTCCCTCACCCTTCTCAGGGTTACTATCAACCCCCAGGCAATAGGAATGATGAGATCTGCATTTGATTCAGGTTGACTCAGCCTTCCATCCTTCTGAGGTCAGTAAAATGAGGACCCAGATTGTTGGGGACAGTATGCTGTCTCTGTAAACTTCTTAGAGAGATGTTGTTGTAAAGCACTGTAAACTGGTATATACCCTAAGTGCCATTGTATTTGTATTAAGCTGTTCCACAGCCTTGGTACTCAGATACTTTTGGGGTAATAGCCTTTCACATATGCCTGAAGGTAAATAAAAGTTTTGATGTGTTGGATAAAGGCACATCTAGCTTTCTGAAAATCAGTCTCTTTTTTTGTATTTATGAGATGTTAGCAATCTATAAATGTGAAAAGGGAAAAAGCATTTCTGCCAAATGCAAAATTGTAGGAACTGTCCAAAGTGTACTTTTGGTATGGATTTCTAAAAGACTAAAAATCCTGTACATTTTTGAAAGAAAAGGAAGCATATCTGTCCAGAAGAAGTCACAAACAGATTAATAGTCTATTTCCTTTCCAAAGGGAATTGCTTTTTCCTGAAAATGCACAACTGACAGCTTCAAAGAACATCAGTTTAAGCATGCTATGCTGGCTCACCTTAATGTTTGTTTGAGATGTCATCCCATTCTATAAATGCATATAAAAGAACATACCACACACAACCACACACACACCCTTGTACTCAGAGGCCAGAAATCATAGGAAGCCCTGGGGACTTAGGAAAAAAAATAAACCAATCATGCGTTTCAAAACCTTGGGCTAGCTAAACAATTTGACACCAATTAGAAGGGAATATTTGTAGCTCAGGATTGAACTGAGTTCAGTCTTTGGTGCTGTTTGAGCTTGAGGGTTTTCTTACAGATGTTTCATTACCACACTAAGTAACATCATCAGTGCTAGAAGGGAGTGAAGTTTATAAAATAAGAGCAAATCTCATTCCCTTCAAGCACTGATGTTACTTAGTTTGGTAATGAAACATCTCCAAGAAAACAGCCAAGCCTTAGAGAGCACAAAGATCCCACAGTTCAACCCTGAGCTACAAATATTCCCTTCTAATTGGTGCTAAATTGTTTAGCTGAAGCTAGCCTAAGATTTTGAAATATGTGATTGGGACCCAGTAACTGATAATTACTGGTAGTTAACATTTTATCAATAAACACTATCTGGAAAAGTCCTAGATGTCACAAATTAGTAAGCTAATAAACAGTCTCTTCCTCCCTGATTTTCAAGGAGCCCTTATATTGCTGAGGCATCTTCTAAAGACCATCATTTTTCCAGGTCTTCCTAATGTGAATGAGAAATATGGTTATTTATTGGATTCATTTCAGTTCATAAAATCTTCCCCTCTGATTAATTTTAATGTGTATGTTTTCCACTAATTGGTTAAACATAGTGGTTTTATTGGAGTTCTAACATCTTATGGTAAGCTAATTGAAAATATTTGAGACGTACCATAAACATTTTTTTTTTAATAAATAGGACAGAAATCACAATACCTATCTTATTCACGCATATACCCCTCTCTGTGTATTTGTGCATGGCAGCATGAACAGCCAGTGGAGGAGCAAGTGTTATGATTACATCAGTGTACAAATGAGGCATAATTCACACCCTTTGCCTGATGACACTGTTACATATAATGTCAATATAGTTTCTCTGGATTGCTCATGCCTGAGAAAGGAGGGGGGAGAAGATGAAGATGAAGGAGGAGAAAGAAGAAGAAAAAAGGAGAAGCAGGAGGAGGAGGAGGGTTTGTAGCAATTGTTTCTTTCCTCAAAGAAAGTAAAACTACTTTCTGATCATGCATCTCCACTTTTCCAAATCATCACTTTCCAGAAGTCAGTGAACATCTTATTTTAGAAGACCCAACAAATATAATACTCAGTACTGTTTTTATCAATTGCTGTTTACAATGCCTTAAAATGCTCTTTGAGTGCTTTTAAACTGTTGATTTATGCTTTCTCTTTGGTTTTTAGCTTTTAAGATTTAAGTACTACTGCTGAGAGCCTCCAGAACTCTATGGAGGATGAACAATGACTCATACTACATAAAATAAATATAGTATAAGCAACCTAGCCCTTTTTAAAGATGTCATGATTGGACCATGTTCACTGATCTTGTATGAGATATTGAGTATAATCTATGATAAATACATTCTTCTGGAAGTATGTCCTATTTATATTATATATATTCTACTGAGCAAAACCATGGAAATGGTACAGATTTGGGGCAGAAAATTTATAGGTTAGGAAGGAATTTGAGTAAACTTTATGGGTGACACGTTATAGTTATATGCTGACTGTGCACTGTCCCTTTTTGTTTATACTTTTTTCTAGCTGTCTGCATCATTCCAGCTTGGTTTCCCAGTATCCATTCAGTGTGTTCACTTCAAATCTAGTAGTATAGTGAAACAGAAGTCTCTTACATGGCCCAAGAGTTCAGCACCATTTCACTTGAAATAATAAATTAATCAGACTATGGCTGCTAGGAATGCCATCACTAATCAACAAAATTTATATCACATGCCAGATACATCACTATGAATACAGAGTGTGTTTTACATTCATATATTTTTCACACCCAAAGGATCCCTTTTGCCTCTTTTTATCCTGGAGA